TTGTATCTCGACACGTGGCAACAGCAATATTTGCTGACGCGTTTCGCCATTGTCTTTTATCTCCTAGCCGTTCAATACGATTGATTTCGAAATTTCTGATACTACTCTGATATATATATATATATATATATATATATATATATATATATATATATATCCCAATGAAATGTAACGAAAATAATATATAGAATATAAATTCTAACGTTCACACCATAAATTCAAAAGAGGGCTCAATACCGATAGTATAGCAATAATTATTTATTATATCTTTTCATTTCTCGATTTGATAGAAATGATTGGATTAAAGCATGCCAAATCCTGTCAAACGCCTTGGAGTTATCTAGAGTCACAGCTCGCTAGAGGCAACCGGACGTGTAGCCACACTGATGAGCTGTGATACAGCGAAACAGTCTGTCTGTGGATGACAATATATATATATATATATATATATATATATATATTATAATTTTTTTTATATAGACAAAAACAATTTACTTACTACATATGTGCAACTTCGTTTCGGTACATTTAGTTGCACCTCGACTGGTAAGTACAAAAATAGTTACCTTTTGGTTCATTAACTGTAAGGTATTTCTTGAAAGTATATATGGAAGGCATTTCTAGGACGTATATGTGGGTGGCATTTTTGGGAGGTATTTGAAGGATGTATATGTGGGTGGTATTTCTGGTAGGTACATGTGGGAGGTATTTCTGGAAAGTATATGTGTGTGGTATTACTGTGGATTATATGTGGGAGATATTTCTGGGAGGTATATGTTGGAGATATTTCTAAGACGTGTATGAGGGTGGTATTTCTGAGAGGCATATGTCGGATCTATTTCTGAGTGGTATATGTTGGAAGTGTTTCAGGGAAGTATATGTGGTTGGTATTTCTTGGAGCTATATGTCGGGTGTATTTCTGGGAATTATATGTGGAAGGTATTTTGTGGGTATATGCGCGTGGTATCTCTGGGATGTATGTGGGGGGTCTTTCGGGGAGGTATATGTGGGAGGTATTTCATCGATCTATATGTGGGAGGTATTTCTGGGCGCTATATGTGAGAACTATTTCTGGGAGGTATGTGTGGTGGTATTTCTGGCGTCTCTAATTGGGAAGTATTTCTGGAATATATATCTTGGAGGTATTTATATCGCGCCCATTATTATTGTTCACATCTGGGGATTACATAAAATGTAAATTCATCTTTATATTGTGAAAATATATTTTACTACAATTTTATAAGGGAAAATTTCAATTCCCAAGTTGGCATCTACGCGGACGACACTACAATTTACTCCTGCCTCAAAAACAAATCTAGTGTCGGTGACAAAACTAACCTGGCCGTGCGTCTTGAAATGGGCCTCCAATCGGTTGTTAATTGGGGCAAGAATTGCCTGGTCAACTTTAACGCCTCAAAAACTAAACTGCTCTCTATTAATCACCATAGAGATCCTTCCGTGCCCCACCCCATTAGAATGTCTGATAGTCAACTTCTTGAGAGCAACTCCCTGCGTCTGCTCGGTCTCACGTTGACTGCTGACCTGAGATGGAACAAATACATTGAGTCAATTGCATCGTCCACCTCGAGGGAAGTTGGCTCTCTGTGCCGCGCCAGGAAATTTTTTCTCCCCGGAATCGATACTTCAAATATACAAATCAACCATTCGCCCTTGCATGGAGTATTGCTGCCATATATGGTCTGGGGCACCTTCTGTTTACCTCGGAGTCCTTGACAAGATCCAGAGACGGATATGTAATATAACTGGCCCTGATCTGGCGTCTCGTCTACAGTCACTCTCTCACAAGCGCGCCGTCGCCTATCTCTGTCTTTTCTACAAATACTTTCATGGTAATTGCTCCGATGAGCTGCTTTGACTGGTTCCCAGACTCCATGAATTCAAGCGCCCTACGAGGCTGGCATCCCGCTCCCACCCTTACAATGTAGAAACTTTTAAATGCAGCCGTCTCTTCGACTCCAATAGCTTCATACCTCGCACCTCTCACCTGTGGAACACCCTTCCCAATTACTATTTCCCTGAGAGCTATAATCTCCAACTATTCAAATGTAATGTCAATCGACATCTCCAGTTAACTTGATCTATCCACTATCCCTCTCCTCATCCTTTCTTCTATCACTGCTATCTGCTCTTGCTCCTAATCTTCTGCAACCCCCTGCATCCTAGTGGCTTCACGCCTTGCTCGAGGCGTAATGCTTAAAAAAAAATTTTAGTTTCTGATAATATATGTTCAGAATGTTTTGGGTGAGCACAATTATATTATTTTCTATCTTACGGCACGTCCTTGTGTATAATATCCGAATAAAATTTGGCAAGGAATATTTCATTAAAAGAAATTTGAAATTTTAACTCACTTGTTTTTATATTTTGATTTGTAGTTATAATCATTTATAATCAAATATGTTTCATTCTGCACTCACCAAGGGTCAAATCAGTCAAATAGACGTATTAGTGTGAATCTAGTACGACTAAGTTCTATTTTATGAAGTAGAGTACAGTCTGGAATAGACGTTGTCACGTAAAAAGATGGTCGCTCAACTGTCATTTGCTTTGGCGTAATGCTTTTATAGCAGTGCTTCATTTACATGCAATAATATACCTCCCTGAACCAAAATGTCCTTTTGTTGTTTTTTGACTTTTTCTAATTATTCTTGGGAATCTAAACTTTTTTGGTGTGTATTTTAATTTCTTCTTCTAGTGGACCTACGTCTGAGTTCATTTTCCTCTTCGACTTATTAACATCAATAGATTGTTCATTTTCATTACTGCATTTATTAGCCCTCTCTTCCTCTTCACGTCTTTTCCCTTCAGATTCTTCGTTCATTTCTATATCCTTGGGTTCCATTCTGCTTTTGAATTGATACGCATGGGCCAGTATATTTTTTTCCATTTTTCGTTAGTATTTCTGTGTTGTATCCTTTCTTTACTACAACGTTCGCCTTCTCTGGATTATATTCTTTGTTTTTTAATACGATACATTTTCCCTTGTCGAAAATGACATTGTTATGCGAGATTTAATCTGTTTATCAATTAATATAGATGAATTTGCTAGCCTGTCGGCATGTGGAATTTTTCCTATAGCTTAACAGTAGTATTGTAATTAATTCTCTATATTACCATTAGATGGGGCAAAGGCTTTTAGTTCCATTTTCACCATTCCTTCTGAAATTCCACACGAAGCCAAAAATAAATCAGTATTATCATCCTCCCCTCCAGAAGCTTTCTTGTCTTTCAGTTTCTTTAGCCTAGCTAACGCTGCGAAACATCTAATCCAAGTTTCTCCGGGCTCCAACGCGGTTAGGGATCCTATCGACGACGCCATATTGTTATGAAGTAGAATAATCTCTGGAATAGACGTTCTCAGGTCAGTAGATGAGAGCTCGACTGACATTCGCTGTGGGGTACTGTTTTTATTCATTTGCATATAATACTACAGTCTACCTGTAGATTACACAAATAGAAACATTTTGGTAGGTGAAGGAGTGCTTTGTTTCATTTTTCAAATGCATTTTATTATATATTGCAGGAAATACTGCATTTTTTTAAATGTTGGTGTTAAAATATTCCCTATTCGTTTTTAATAATATATTTTAACAAATATTTCCTTTTCTATGAATGGTATACAATTGCTTTATTTACATTTCCTGAGGTTCTAAGTAGTATAATGTTGCGAGGTTCCATGTTAATTTTTTTTTTTAAATATTCCCTTCCACTAAATTCCGAAGTTTTCTGAGGTTCCTTCGGCTTGCGTGGTACTCGTTTTATGAGCTTAGGATTACATCCAGTAATAATTGGACTCATTTTTTTAAATCAAAAACTTTTCTGTAATTTGTCTTCTTTTTAGTGGCACAACATTTATGAAACTTGTATCAACGTTTGTATTTAGTTTGAATTTTTTATAGGATTCATCACGACATACTTTTTATTAAGCATCATGTGTTGTAAAGATTTATAGATTTCGTCAGATTCAGGATAGTATTCCCTTGTATAATTATAACGGCTATAGCTGAGCTTAGTCTGACACAAGGCTATGATATTGAGATACTAACTATAGATCGAACTAGACCACTGCGAGTGTAGCTTTTACCATGAAACTTGGTACTTATTTTGTAGATATTTGATAACTTTACCTTCAAATGATCCAATTATGGAAGAGTTGGTGAAAAATTATATATTTTTCACTTCTTTTCATTGTTCTTTTTTTTTTGTTTACTTAAATTAGTTTCTTTTATAAATTGCCCATCAAACCCCTTCATATCAGATTGTACGGATAAAAAAAAGATACTACATACATTTTTAATTCTGCGCGTTGCTCCTTGAGTAAACCTTTAATGAGGGTGGGATGAAATGAGAAATTAATTATTTATATTGGCTAAGCACTTTACGCACACACACACACACACACACACATACACACACACACACATGCACACACTGTCACACACACAGTCACATGCACACACACACACACACACACACACACACACACACACACACACACAGTGATCTCGTAATCGTAGCTTAGATGTGACACAACGCCGGAAGTATGGGTCACCCAGAGAGGATCGAACACACTATTCAATCGTAATTGATCTAGGGAGACATGTTTGCTAACGGTTACCCCACATTGAAGGCCCCCGACACACACAAATATTCATAAATATTAATGTTTGCGCTATTTATATGAAAATGTATTCAATATCGATAGAGCGTTGATAATCATATATATATAATATATATATATATATATATATATATATATAGAGAGAGAGAGAGAGAGTTTATATATATATATATAGAGAGAGAGAGAGTTTATATATATAGAGAGAGAGAATTTAGATATATATATAGAGAGAGTTTTATATATATATATATAGAGAGAGAGTTTATTATATATATATAGAGAGAGAGAGAGTTTATATATATATATATATAGAGAGAGAGTTTTTATATATATATATATAGAGAGAGAGAGAGAGAGATTAGATAGATAGATAGATAGATAGATAGATAGATAGATAGATAGATAGACACGCAGAGAGAGAGAAAAAGGGAGAAAGAGAGAGTGATAGAGCAAGTTTTGACGGTCGTAGTGAAGCGTAAAACTAATAATTACCAAGCAATGTTGATTCTAATGTCCACACTGTCAAGATAGATAGATAGATAGATAGATAGATAGATAGATTGCAATCTCTTTGCCTTTAAGTTTTTTAAACTCTAGAAATTTACATGCCTAAATTTTGAGTCAATCAAAAGTCGAGTGTAAATTATATCCAGACAGCTGTGTAAAGTTCTGGAAGGGATGTACACATCTCTCAATTCTTAGAACATTTCACCGACAAAGATTTCGCAGACGGGTTACACAGAAACAGAACACAGACAATTGAAAAAAAAAAGGCATCAAAAGCTTCATTTGGCATTCGCTGAAATGTTTTGCGGCCTGATGAATAATCACTGATCATTACTAATAAGGGATAAATGAATTCGCTACAATCTCAATCCATTCTTCCAACGAATGATTTAACAAGAATAATGTCAGGGTAATGGAATGGTTTTCTCAATTGTTGTTCAGAATCATTCAATCTGAATAATTTGGAACGATTCTACAAAGAAGAATGATGGAGGAAAAGAGCAATCGACTGATGCAGAACGACTGAAGGCAACAGGCAAAAAAAATGGCTGATATTGGCGATCGGCAGCAAATAAATTTGAACTAAGTTGATCTGGTCGAATATGTATGTAAAAGTCATAATAAAATATTAATATCTATGGAAATATATTAATTATATTATTTATTCTTCTTTATATCAATAAACGTTTAATCCATTAACTGTCAATTATTAATGCGTATTTTTGGCCCAGACAGGTGTCTTAGGAGTTTATTTATTCCTTATATTTAATTTCAGTAGTTACCATTGTCGTTTTTATAGAAACTAGAACATCAAATATATATGTGTATAAAACATCCAAAAATAATATTGATTAGAAATAATAAAAAAATACTTTTCAAAATAGTCATTATTTTTCTACTCGTGAAATGTAAAATTACGACAGAAAATGTCTTCTTACGGATAATAATAAAAACTTTAAAGGCTCTGTAATGCAATGTATGTAAGCAATTCAATGTAAATACAGGGAATAACATGTAGTGAGTTTAAATTTAAAAGATCCCCAAATGGGGCTCATAGCAAGTAATGGGTTAAATATTTTACTAACGCTGAGGATATAAATGACATCAAATGAAATTCGTGATCATTAAGCAGATGAAATAAACTATATATATATATATATATATATATATATATGTGTGTGTGTGTGTGTGTGTGTATATATATATATATATATATATATATAATTATTTATTTAAAAATATGATTTCAATTTGCGGCATAAGAGGTCTCATGTTTCAAAACAAGGGCCGAAAACTTCAATATAATTATTTGAATTAAATTGAGTTAAAGTAAGCTCTGTTCCATCTTCAAGCGAAATTTTTTTTGGAATAACGTATTTCTGAAATTTACGTGTTTTAATAATTGAAATCAAAATTTCCATGGTAACAGCTAAGGCGAATTGTTTAAATTGGGTAGGCGTGTGTTGAGTGGTAATAATAAGTATCAGTATAGACTTACTTTCATAGATGTCAAGTCAGGGAAAGGTGGGGGTGTCTAAATTTGAAACGGAAGATGTATTAACCCTAGTCTGGTATGCGTGTCTATGGAGATTCATTTATTTTTTTATTTTATTTTTTTATGAAAGGGATTTGTGCATATAAAAAAAAGTGGAAAATGAAGTCAGTCTGTTTAACGCTAAACACAATCGCCGTGTGCGTTCTGTTTTAGCTCGCCTAATTATATATACAAGTCAATAATGAATTGTGGGTAGTTTATTGTATTATTCTCTAATTTTATTTAGGTGGGCGGTAACGATTGAGTTTCGATTTATTCTAGGGGCTATTGAGTGTGAATTATTGGGAATGTGAATGCATTTTTTTGGCTATTTATAGAGTTGTTAGTTAACACTTTTGTTTATTATTGATTATTTTATTCTTGGTTGTTATTAGGACGTTCCCTTGTGTTTATCTGTGTGCATGTGGTTCGTTAATTTGCTTATTATTTACTTAGATTATTTTTCGTTTTTTTCAGTTTTCGATTTTTTTAACGTAAAAATTTAATTTAATTTAAATATATATATATTTACTTAGATTATATTTTCGTTTTTTTTCTGTTGTTAATATTTCGTTTCTCACATGATACGGCGTCATAGAACAGTTTTCGATTTTTAATTAACGTAGCAGTCTTGTATGTCAAAATTTAATTTATTGTCTGCCATAAAAAAATTTCCATAGTTGGAAAAATTTTTGTTTTTATTTTCCCCGAAATTTATAGCAACAAAAGGAATTTTAGAACGGCTCCTGATAAATATATATATATATATATATATATATATATATATATATATATATATATATATAAGAAATGGACAAATATATATATATATATGTTTCTACAAGTATTTGTTAATATTTCGTTCTCTCACATGATACGGCGTCATAGAACTGCATCCTATACGATTGAAAGGCACGACCTGACGGTTCTGCTATTGCTGTCAATGGACGAACCGTTAACCTCACGGAAATAGCTAACATTTCTTGAAGACGTCAACATGATGGTGAAATATCTTTAGAGGTTTTAAAAGGAAAAGGAAATGAAGATGGTAAATGTCCATGAGCCGGAAACCACCGGATGAATTTGATGCTGCAGGAGTGCCGGATACTGCAGGAGTTTTAGTGCAGGCATGATGGTCGAGGTTGGCAGTTGCGGATCAAGGATGATCGCTTGGGTTGTTGAAAGGATGATCGCTTGGTGGTTGTTGATGTGGAGTGATGCCAGGATGCATAAAAAATATATCCATATGTTTTGGAAAATTTTGTTTTATTTTCTGCCAACTTGACGTGTTGGGAAGGAAGAGAGAGAAATTATATGTTGGCAGACAAAAAAAGAAATGGGAAAGGAATTTTAGCCGACAGCCTCCCCAAAACGGCTCCATCAAGAGAAATTCAAACATATAAAAAAAATACTACATTCGTTGTTAAAGATATCTAACAACATATATATATTTATATATATATATATATTAAAAAATGGACAGTCCCTCTGACGTTAACAATTTATTTTATTAAAGACATTTTTATGTTTAACGTTCTTTTTATAAGTTACTTTTAATATATTTAAGAAAAAAGGTTCATGAAAGGTTGTTTATAATGAACTGAAAAAAATGTGTTAAATAACGAAATGCAATATATAGAGGTTTATTCTAAAGGAAAAGGAAATGAAGATGGTCGGAAACGGTGGAGTGATGTCGCATGGATGCTCGTCAGGAGAAAGAGATCCATTCCGGAAACTTGTGTGTGCTTGCAAAAGTTGTTTTTGAAAATAAAGGAGTGGGTCAAATTTTAGTGGTTGGATGCTGGAACAGGAGTCGCAGTGGTTTGGATGCAGTCCAGCAGGAAATGGGTGTTGCAGGTCTGCCTAAATGTTGAATATGCTTTTATGTCGCCACCATTGTCCAGCCAAGTCAGATCACAGTCACCATCTGTAGAGTCCTGGATACTGACCGTGAAACAATATGGACGACAGCAGGCATTGATATATGGTCGAGGAAATTGGCAGTGGAGGTTGGATGCTGCTAGGATCATCGTTGTTGGGGGATTGCAGGAATGAGCTGATGCTGCAGGAGTGCCGGATACTGCAGGGGGAGCAATATGATGCTGCAGGGTTGTGAGCCGGATGCTGCAGGATGGTCGGAAACGGTCAGGCATTGATGGTCGAGGTTGTTTGGGATGTTGTTGGGGTTGATGCCAGGATGATCTTTGTTGGTTGTTGAAGATGATCTTTCGTTGCCAGGGTGCCAACTTGTTGCTGTAGTTCGTGTTGCCAACTCGTTGTTTGTCATTGCCGGGGGTGCCAACTTGTTGCAGCAGTTCGTGTTGCCAACGTTGTTTGTCATTGCCTGGATGCCAACTTGACGTGTTGGGGGAAGAGAGAGAAAGAAAGTTCCCAACTATCGTCAAGTTGGCAGACAAAAAGAAATGGGAGCGTAACTTAACACACAGCCGTAGATCGGCGCCCTTGGCTCAATGATGGCCAAAGGGCCTGCGTAGACGACCGTTGCGGCTGCCGACAGCCTCCCAAAGCTTGGGAGAAATCACTGTCTTGTGTCGAGGGGACCAGCAAGAGAAATTGGCTAAGCTAACCGAAAAGTCTCTATAAAAAAAAATACTACAAGGTTAGCTAAAGATAACTATGGTCTAAAAATGACTAGATGTATATTACACCTAGGTTTGTAATATAGCCTAACTAAAAAAGGGGATTTGCTAGTCCCTCTGACGTGTTAACAGTGTGTGAGGAGTATGAATGAGAGGTCAAGGTCGAAAAGACCTGTTCCTCTGCTGGTTCAAGGACAGAAGGAGGAGGTAACTCCGACAACTGTTTATTATAAGCAGAGCATTTACTTAAATACTTGTATCTATAAAAAAGAACGTTAAACATAAAAATGTTTTTAATAAATAAATTGTCGGACTTTGTCCATTTCTTAATATATGACGTCATTTGTTTACATTTGATACGCCAGAGCAGTTATGAATGTACGAGATTCATGGAAGATTGAAGTTTATAAGCAATAAAATTCGACCTTGTCTACCGAACCCACCTTGTGGCCGAGATGTTAGGCACGTCTGCGTAAATGACTGTTCCGTATAGAATGCAGGTTCGAATCCTGTCAAAGGACGAATATTTTCTATGAAAATATATATATATATATATATATATATATAAATTTGCAGTTGAAATATCTAGATGTAACTGTAAGTTCTACGCTGACGTTTCCCATTTGAGAAAATTTCATCTGGTCATTTGCTTTCCACCCGACATTGATATTCAAAGATTTAAATGCAATTTCAATCGTTAATTGTATACTTAATGACTGTTCTTTTATTGTTCTCCTTCCTTAATAGTTTTCTTTTTCCCATATTCTCACACACTGAATATCTCCTTGCGTCTTAGTGGCTTTATTGCTCTGCATACAGTGAAATGTTTTTTTTTTTAAATATATGTGTGCGTGTGTGTTTGTCCGCGTGGACAAAAATAGATATCTTGCATACACACATTACACAGACAACTTTAAACTGTATAAGGTACCTCAAAGACGAGAACACTATTAAATATAGTAGCGATGTAGAACAACCAAACAAAATAGAACATGTTCATATTAAATTGATGGCTGACATAGAAAGAATTATAATGTCTGAGGATTCCACAGAATTTTGAATATATTGTTTATTTGGTATTCACGTTTCGCACCGATTTTCACTTTGCGGACTTTTAGTTTTGTTTTTCAAAATACCACATACCTCAAGGTCTTTCGATTCCAATGAAATTCCATATTTGGCATCCTGCGTCTTCTGAATTTTTCCAAATAAACAATTGCCGTTGAAAAGCAAGAGATATCAGCCCGTGAATGAGATGGAGGAGGACGTGACAGGAATGCTGATGGCAGTCCTTAAAAATTATTTTGATGACTTTTGAAAAATAGAATGAAAGCTGCGATAAGTATCTGAGGCCCAAATTTGAAAATTTGAATGTAAGATAGATAGATAGATAGATAGATAGATAGATAGATAGATAGATAGATAGACTCATACATGCATACATGTTTACATTTGGACAGATTGAGATAGATAGATAGATAGATAGATAGATAGATAGATAGATAGATAGATATATGATACATAATGAACATTTGGATAGATAGATAGATAGATAGATAGATACATAATAGATAGATATAAACAGAGATAGAGATAGATATGCATATATGCATACAAACATACATTTAAACAGATAGATAGATAGATAGATAGATAGATAGATAAACAGATAGAAAGACATACATGCATACATGCATACAATTTGGACAGATAGATAGATAGATAGATAGATAGATAGATAGATAGATAGATAGATAGATAGATAGAACAGACATGAGATAGATACATGCATACATTTGGACAGATAGATTAGATAGAGACTGAGATAGATAGATAGATAGATAGATAGATAGATAGATAGATAGATAGATAGACATACATGCGTACGTGCTTACATTTGGACAGATAGATAGATAGATAGATAGATAGATAGATAGATAGATAGATAGATAGATAGACATACATGCGTACGTGCTTACATTTGGACAGATAGATAGATAGATAGATAGATAGATAGATAGATAGATAGATAGATATGAACAGACTGAGATAGATACATGCATACATGCAATCAATCATACATTTCAACAGACTGAGATAGATAGATAGATAGATAGATAGATAGATAGATAGATAGATAGATAGATAGATAGATAGATAGAAGAAATATCGTTCTAACTTTTCCGTTTTGAAATAGATAGCAAAAAAAAGAAAATATGTTAAAATGTTTTTTGGGGAGTTTATTTTATCAAATTGAAAAAATATCATGTTTATTATTGCTGCTTGATTGTTAAAACATTTTGCGGGAGAACTGATTTTTGTTTACTGTTTAATCTTCGAACGTCATGAACCTCTTAGCGTAGCGTTCGTTGAAACTCTCGACGGCAACGAAAGAACATTTTTGGATCAATCTGACAAAGTGTACAAACACCCTGAAAAAAGAAAAAAAATGATGTGTGAAGGGACAAAATATCAAAGAAAAACATTTTAATATATTATCTATTTTGATAGATTTTCTTGGAATTGAAATTGAAAATGTTGCATTGTCACATGTGATACAGCGTAATGGGGTCCATAGTGGCCTATTTTATTGACTACAGTAAAGAATTATTGCCGACTACTTTTCAGTGAAGGAGAGGGTACAGTTAGTGAGAGTTATTCGCTATCACCAACTATTTGCTAACTAGCCAATAATCTCCCTGAAAAATCTTAAAAGGAGAAACTTCTTTTCATCCCCAGGAGACCTGGCCTTCTCGCTCACTGCTGATTAATCAATTCACGGACCAGTGAAATGATCCTGCTATATCCTGCTTCTTTTTCCTTTTTTTTCTTTTTTTTTTTTATTTACTGGACTTGTGACTGTCAACTGTGCGTAATAAATGCATCATATTTCAGAAATACGATGCATTTTCAACAACTTGTGTGGTTGTTTATTTGTTAGATCCCTATTTGTCTATATCCCTGAGATGAGGTATTATGACTACTCATATTATTCGGACAGTTATCCTCATCTTCACTGCTATATTCACAGCGTTTCGGCCGTTGTACGCTCCGCCATCCTCCAAGTCATTGGAATTTCGAACCGAACCGTTTTTTTTTTTTTTCGTCCGCCGGGATATATTGTTCTAGTTCCACGTGCCATGCCTCTTCCGGATGTCTTAGCCATTTCCCTTTAACTCAACTCTCCAAGTTTGGTTCACCATCGCTGTGGCCTGGTATTGAAGTCACAACTCTTTTTGGTCTAGTCACTAGATCTAACCAACGACTTTATCAACTGGGCCAATCACCTGAAGGATGCCGGGACGTACAACGGCCGAAACGTTATGAATATGGCAATGAAGATGAGGATAAGAGTGCGAATAGTAGGATCTTAACTTCCATTTAACTTAATGGTTAACCCTAAATTATTTTTCTTTGTTCTACACCCACAATATTGCAATGTTGTGCAAGGCATAATAAGACAATAATTAAAGAAAAGCGTTCGAGTTTTAAAATGTAAATTTATGAAAATGATATTGTGAAAACTTGTTTTCTTGATTAACTAATTAAAAAATTGTCTATTTATAGAATAAATTATAAAAATAATTCTTGTCATTCGATTTACGTGGTGGGTGGTAGCTCTGAATAAATTCTAATTTAACCCCTTCCTCCCTCCTTCCCTTACCTCTTTTCGTTATTATTGTACACACTGACACATACATTATAAGTGAGATTGGATTTTTACTACTCAAAACATTATACAAATACATGCATACAACAATCTATTTTTTTGTTAAGAGTTAATACATTTCAACGTTGAAAATGGCTAAATATGTAGCCGAAAGTGCCCAGACAGAAAGAGCAATTGGACAGTTTTTATATAATTTATCATCAGAAAAGAAAAATATTATTAGATAAAATGAGGAATTGCATAAAAAACTAAATCAAGCACCTTGTCTGCGGTATTCAGTGAAATGTGCATGAAAGAAGGATTGCTACCTAAATGCAAAAATACAATTATATATATATATATATGTGTGTGTGTGTGTGTGTGTGTGCGCGTCTAAGTGTGTGCGTGTCTGTGTGGTGGACTCTCCCATCGTATTCGACGTATGAGGTTCAACAGCTCAGGTCATAGGAGTCAACTGTCTGACACCAGCACATATGATTTGATTATAGTGGTCAAGGCATTGTGCAGAACCAAGCACACTTTATAATATATATAATATATATATATATATATATATATATATATATATATATATATATATATATATATAGCACTTATAGAATCGCGTTGCTGCACTTCACCGGACTAGATGGGGACCTGCCCGATACGAGTCACTTGTCCCATGTCTTTTGGCACGCCTGTGTATATGTATAGTTCATTTTCTCAATCGGTTCATATCGATCTTTTATAACCTAATGATGTATCTACTATGTCCCTCCCCTATCACGTTTTCAAACATTTCGATCCTTATCTCTCGCTTTATTTATCCATACGGGTTTTATTTATCTCATTGTAAACTCCAGTTTACTTTAGTTACAAACCAATTCTAATCGATTAGCCTATTGATCGGCTACCTCTTCGGTCAATCTCTCAAGTATTATATTCAAAGGAACATTATATATCTACTTTGTTGATCGATAGGCTAAGTAAAGCATGTCTTTATTAAATGTAAGGCTGCTTGATAAATCATTCATAGCCATCGATCTCATGAAATTGTTCTGTTTCTTCTTTTTCTTTTCCTTCTATCCACCCCCTCTCTCTTTCTCTCTCTCTCTCTCTCTCTCTCTCTCTCTCTCTGTCCGTGTTTTCGTGCTGGTGTGCCCACAGATTTGTTTGGCTTGACTTAGTCCGGTAGAAATATAAAACTGTGGGATACCAAGATACAATGAAACTCGTTGACAACATTCTGCAAGCCACAGAGCGAACTGCGTAAGTAAACACTGTATTACGCTAAACAAGTGGGAAGAGACGGTTTGGTTTGAAAATCTGTACGCCATGATTCAAATTATTGACGTTGAGAGTTAAATTTGTGTTGTTATTTTTTATTTTATTTTATTTTTTGTTTTTTTTGTTTTGCTTGTCTTTTCAGTAAGATTCACACTGCACAAGGCCCGGGGCACTCGAAGTAGAAAGGGTAACTTATATGGATAAGAGGATAAGAAAACTGTTAACTCTACACTTGAACAGGTTAGGATTGTAGGAATGCAGTAAACATCATCTTCAGAGTCTGTTCCATAGGGCAGTGGCTCGTGAGATGATGCTGTTTGAGTGGAATTTATTGTCGGTGAAATAAGAAGGAAATATGGATGATTTGCTACTATGTACATGGCATGGCAGATCCTAGGCGGGAAGGTTAAACCTGGCGGAACCAAGGAATGTAGTCCGTTCGAGCACCTCCGATGGTAGTAACTATAAACCAGTGAGAGTCTCATTACATCCCGCCCGTGAGAGAGAGAGAGATTGGAGAATGTAAAGTAATTCTTCTCCAGCAAGGACACGGAGATGCTTTTTTAACTCTATCAAAATTGGAAAGTCAGGACTTGGCAGCTCCCTTCTAAATATGGCAACAGTACTCCATTTTCGAACTGATCTGGCCCTTATAAAGATAGAGGTTAATATGAGGAGTCAGGTACTTATTGAACCGGTACAGCGAGCCTATCATTTTAGCTGCATCTTTAGCGATGGATTGTATATAGGATTTCAGCTTGTGATGAGTTGTGAGCTATCACAACGTTTCTAGAGTTGTGCTTTCTTCAAGCCTCTATCGATTCAGGTAACCTTCAGGTAATTTCGATTTGAACACTTTATTTAATCTACAGCGATAGATTGTTCTTTTTTCGCTAGGGATGACTCAACTAGTTCTTATATAGTAGTATTTAGTTATTGCTTACCTTGTTTGCATTGGCTCTAAGTCTGGATTATCTGGTTCAGAGATTGAAAACACAATTAGTATTCCTGGTATTGTGGATTAAAACAATGAGTAACGAATTTAAAATGGTTCTACCGCAGAAATTTCTATTGGAATTCACGGCTTTTGTATACGAATACTGACTGCCGCTGTCAGAATAAAAACGCCTCAAGCCGACTGCACACATTTGCAACTGTATTGCTTTTTTTTCTTTTTGTGTGTATACATATGCATTTACAGATAAAGCGATAACTAATGATATCCACTAGACTATATAGCACCAACGTCCTCAGGAATTCGATGGAATTTGACAACTTTGACTCATCGCCTTGACTTAAATAAGTAAATTCAAGTGCATGTTCTATATTTGGAATACTCACGAAAATTAACAAAGAAATAAAAGAATCTCATTTATTTATTTTCCAAACAGGGTCAGCACATTGCGGCCATGTTCATAGTCGCCATTAGTGAGTGTTGGCTTTTTACGATTTTATTAAATAATGTGGTGATCGTGTTTAGAAAAAATAAAATAGCCCTAAGGTATTATATTAAAAACATGTTGACATCGCTACACAAAAGCTTTCATGTTTCAATACTACGATTGTACTTCTTCAGGCGATGGTAAGTAACTGGTGACGAAATAATTTTTTAAGGAAATTTAAAAACAAAGTGTTACCTCTTTTCCGAAAGTTAAAGGTGGGTGATATAAAGTCAGAATTAAAAACAGACTTGTGGGTATGTCTTGATTAACTAATTAAATGTCAGATCTACGCTAAATAGAAAGTAAACTCAGATGGTGGAGATGGGTGAGTTACTTTTTGATGTCACATTAAACTGGAGCATAGACAGACCATCATTGATGAGTGCGGAAAATATGTCAGCTATATATATATATATATATATATATATATATATATATATATATATATATGGTTGACTCAATTTATAATAATGTTTTTCTATATACACATATGATGAAGTTAAATTGTTTAATACAATAAGATATTAACAAAATTAACTGATAATAAAATAGAAGAGAAATAATAAAATAAAATAAAACAGAAATACATTATTTACATTATTCGGGCTGTTATCCTCATCTTCATTACCATATTCATTATTAAATATGTCAGTGAAAATGAGGATAACAGTTTGAATACTGTGAATAATGTAAATAATCATAATACTTGATCTCAGATATATAGAGGCCGAAATGTTGTGAATATGGCAATGATCAGGATAACAGTCTAAATAATGTAAGTAATCATAATACCTCATCACAGAGATATAAACTCTGAAACGTTGGAAATATGGCAATGAAAATGAGAATAACAGTCCGAATGATGTAAATAATGAAAGTAATCATAATACCTCATCTCAGAGATATAGAGGCCGAAAGCTGTGAATATGGCAATGAAGATGAGGATAACATTTCGAATAATGTAAATAATGCAAGTAATCATAATACCTCATCTCAGAGATATAGAGGCCGAAATGTTGTGAATATGGCAATGAAGATGAGGATAACAGTCTAAATAATGTAAATAATGAAAGTAATCATAATACCTCATCACAGAGATATAAACTCTGAAACATTGGAAATATGACAATGAAGATGAGAATAACAGTTCGAATAATGTAAATAATGTAAGTAATCATAATACCTCATCTCAGAGATATAGACAGAAAATAGAAATATATAGTAAAAACAACGTTAAGAGATGGATAAGTGATTCGTTCTTACCATAGAGTTTAACGAGACAATTTGATCTTATTAAATTTGTGCACTTTAAACTTTTTACTTACAACACTTTGAATTTTGCTCTTTGGCATATCGAAAATGACAGCATCTTCTTTTTCTTCTACTTGCCGTGTCTCTTCAGAACGTTGGCGGTCATGACTCTCCACAATTTCCTCTCCTTTTTACCTCTTAATAATTTTTGCATCTTTCCTAAATCTTGGTCTGCTATCCATTTACTCAAACTCTCTACCTAGGTCATGCGTTATTTTCTTCTGTCCCTCTTGATTTCAAACTGCCCTGTGAGTATCAATTTTTCCAAGTCCTCTTTCCTCGTTATGTGTCCTAGAAATTTCAACTGTCACCTCCTGATATTAAGTAAACGTTTCCTTTTACCGTCCATTTTCTCTCAAACATCGTCGTTGCTCACATGGTATTCGAAGAATCCTTCTGTAGAACCATATCTTTGATGCTTCAAATCTGGTATTCCTCTGTGAAGAGCATCACTACTCTTGACTGAGACGATTAGTAAAGAAAGCCATACGGACACATCAAGTTGAAACGCCGGTTCTCGTCCGATCA